TTTATTTTAGAAATTTTGAAGGAGATAGGATTGAAGTTGATATTCAGAAAGTAGAGAGATCAATTTATCTGTTGATTTACAAKGAGAGGTTATTTGTTATGATGGCATGTAAACAATTGTTTATCATAATCTAATATTTTCATGCAATGAGTGTTTTTAATGATGCACATAAATGGAAGAATTGCAAGAAAATCAAGATCAAGATCACGTGTGACCTCTGTGCTCTTTTCATGCATTAATCTGAGTTTAGGTCATGGTCTCTTCTTACTGAAAGTTGGTTTACATAATAGCATCTCACTAAGCATAGAAATGGTATACTTTTAAAACAAAGGTGAAACTACTCTTGAAGACAATGGTCATCTTTTTTTAGCTAAATATCAAAAACAAAAAAGTTGAAACCTTTAGCATACAAATGGTAGGCTTTGAAGACGTGTACATTCTGCATAATGGTCTGTACTTCATAGTTTCTTGAGAGTAGATGGTTGAGAAGCTGATTGTTCCATTTTCTATTATTAGTTCCTTCTCTTTCAACTTATTATTCCACTTAACACTGCAATTAGTAGCACACAATCTACTATGACAGAATTCAGGTTCATGTCTGGATAGAGGTTCAACAACACAAATGTTTGGCTGCAAAGCCATAGGGAAAGAAGATGTTTGTTTTGTGGATTGATCAGTTTCCTTGATAGAATCAAGACGACTCATGTTAGTGTCTAATAGGTTTGGGCCTTCTCGGGGGATGTTTGGTGCTATATTAATGTTGTTCTCATCGAGTTTGGCAACATCATACACCATTGCTGGTCCAGATGCACCATTTGGGACTTGTGTTGGTCTTTGACTGTTCTGTTTGAACCAAGGTCAAAAAAAGAAAAATAACATGTTCAGGGAGTCAGCTATAACAATTAACAGGTTCTTGAAACAGAAATGGTGAACAAGTAATAAATTTACCCAAGGGATAATCTTTGGTGGTTCACTACTCCATCCCTGATATGAATCTTCATACTTGTGCACCTTCTCTTGTAGAAACTGGATGTATTCAATAACCTATAAAATTGAAGATGGATGTTACATTAGTTTTCTTTGCCTCCAATCCTATTTTCTCCAGATTCCTCTCTTCACATGTTCGATTGCACATGTTCGATTTCTCTTGGTTCGGTTCAACATATTTCACAGGTTCGATTTCACAGATTTCATAGGGGGCTCTGATTTTCTACGTCGGTCGCTTGACTGAGGAAGGAGAGTTTGGTTTGTATCAAAAATTGTTTAATAAAAAGGTAAAAGGTATTAGAAAAGGGTTAAAATGGTAAATTGTTAATAAGTTGATTTTGATAAGCTAGAGGGGTTTAACTTATCAAAAACTGTTTATTACCGGTTCGGCACTGGTATAACCATTTTCTTTTTCTTCCCATCCAAACACTAAAAATTGCTTATCACCGGTACCACACGGAATAAGTCAATAAGCACGTTAAATAAGCAATCCCAAACACCCCTTCAAATTTGAATGTGATTATGATTAAATCTTGCACAACTGATTAAAAGTCCAACAAGTATTTGGTCACTCATTCCACTTTTATCTTTTTATGTTTTCCTTCATAGTATGAAGGTTAGTGTTCCAAAGGAGATCACATTTTTTTACAACACAAAGGGCCAAACATAGATCTGTTGATTCATGTGTAGAAGGAAGAGTTCCAAAATCTCAGAGATTATCTCATTGATGTGCATAGGGTTAATGTGGTATAAGTAGATTTCATTTTTTTCTTCTGTGAACATATGTGAGTCATCTTTGGTGTTCCAAGTTCTTTAATTCTCTTAGTATTGTATCGTAGTTCAAAAATGACAAATTTATACAATGAACGCTTCCTTAAAGGCTTAATTTCATTGGGCGTATAAGGCGCGTAAAGCGTTAAGTGGGCTAAAAAATAAAACGCCCTATATCTAAAAGTGTTCTATTAGTAATTTTATAGAACATTTTCGAGAAATATCCTATAAACCCTTCTTTTGATAGGACCCTTATGTTTATAGGACACTAGGTACCATAAGGCACTCTATTAGGACACTTCAACAATTTCGGGTCCTAAAAACTCAACTTTGTTTTTAGGACCAAAAATATAAAGCGTCATGTTTAAAGGCATTGTAAAAAGTTTATATGACGCTTTTGGACGTCTTAACAAGTTTTTAGGACATTTTTAATACCAAGCATCATATTAGCAACTTTATAGGACACTTTTGAGAAAGTATTCTATAAACTCAATTTTTTATGGGACACTTGTTTTTATAGGACAGTTTTTCAAATAGTATCCTATAAAGTTGTTAATAGCACACTTTATATTAAAAATGTCCTAAAAAAACTTATTACGACATCAAAAAATGTAATATAAACTTAGTACAACGCTTTTAAATAGAACACTTCATTTTTTGGTTCTATAAACTAGGCCCTATAAAGATTCCTATTAGGATGCTTAGAAATTGCGAGCGTCATATAAACCCGATTTTGTTGTAGTGTGTGGACAATGGAGACACGTGTCGCGCTCTCCTTTCTTCCCGTGTTTCATAACCGAAAATCAATATACACTCTTAACTGATTGCTCTCCTTTCTTCTCCTCTAGAACTTTATTTATATTAGATTGAGAATAAAAACGTCTTTGGACCATAATAATTAATGGCATTTAACTTCGATTTTGAAACTATGCATTAAGAACATGTTTTTAACCCGTTTTTATTAATAAAACATCAAACCACGAATTTTTTAAATTATTTCCTCAAAACTCATATTTTCATAACAAAAAAGTCAGAAAACAACCAAATGAAAATTATTAGACACTCAAATGGGAACTAAAGTTCTTGCAGAATGTTCCTCTCATATTTTTCCAAATGACGACAATACAAAGGAGACTAAAAATACACCTACCATTTACTAAAAAGAATACTACATTGATTTTTGAAACATATTACACTTTTTTTATTAATATGGATATCCAACCCGTTATGCGAGCCGACTAATCTCAGTGTTTTGCGATTAGACCGGATTCACCGCATTTGAACCTCCGTCGCCACAAAGGGATTTTTGTTCCTCCTTCCATTTGAACCGTGGGACCATAATAATGGCATTTATAGCTTACTTTAATTAATACTCCAAATGACATCAATACAAACAAACTAAAAATATACGCATGTACGCAATGATTTTTAAACCTACAGTTTGTTCATTCAAAAGATATAATAGCTGTCAGATTAAATTCGGGACTCCGCCACATTTTTCATGTACAACTTGTAAAAGTTCGAAGAGAGTAAATTGAAGAATGGACGAAAAACTACTGAAGAATATAGAAGCATTAAAGGTTTCAAATACCGATCTAGTAACTTTTCTTGATAGACCTTGAAGGTGCCAAAAGGGTTTGTTGTTGTGTATAGTAACATGTTATTTAAATTTCTGTGGCCAAATACCATTTCTCCCTACGATTATGTCATATTTACTAAAAATATCTTCGGGAGAATCAAAGAAGGGAAACCGAGACACAAAATTGAACCCAAAAGATGAAATTAAACCATCTAGTTACAAGTATTCATAAACAAATCATGAAACGAAGTTTACCTGTGAATTTGATAGATCTCTCAACCTTGTTAACATAATTAAACCCAGAGGGAGTTTTCAATAACATTAAAGACAAATTGCTGACACAATTACAATGGTGATGAGAAACTAATGAATCAATGCTAACTCCAATAATACATGCACACATATATACATACGTAAATATGTATTCATCATACTTGATTTATTATTATTTCAAACAAAATAACACTTTTAAATTAATTAATGATAATTATTGATGTAAAGGAACGACGAGGCATTATGCAATGCGTATACATAACGACGAAACTAATTTGTATGAGAAAAAGCCTCCATCACATAAAAAATTAAATAAGGACAAGCAATTCACCAAAAACCCATAATATATTTGTAACAAGTCTTGAGCACCTTCCAGGACACGATTGACGTGTTTTATATTGTTGTAAACTGGATTTGACCATAATTGGCATACAATTATTTATTAGTCGTCTTGCACAGTAATCACAGCCAAAACTAGTTGACCATAATTGCATTAGAAATGAAGCATGTCAATTAAGCCTATAAATACACCCTATATATCCAAGTTCAAAATCATTCACAAACAACATATAACCGTATACCTCTTCACAAAAGCACACTTCATGGATATCACAAGTTTTCTCGTAGATAATAATCTCTCGGCCCCTCTCTTCGTTCTATCAACGATCTTCTTTCTTTTACTAGTTGTGAGACTAGCCAAACCAACACCCTCAAAGAATCTCCCACCAGGTCCACCAAGGTTGCCAATCATCGGAAACCTACATCAGGTAGGGGATAGACCTCA